GTGCTGCTGGGTTGCTCCAGTAGCTCCAAGGAGCGGCCACGCTACTGGACCAAGCCAGCAGCACCCGAGCTGCTCTGCCCCAGGTGTCCCAAAGTCAGCCGCTGACTACAGGAAGCCCAAGGCAGAGTTGCTCTGCCCTGGGCTTCGTGGAATCAGCTGCTGATCAGTTTCAGCAGCAGCTGACTTGGGTTCTTGACCTGGTGTTCTTACCTTGAATCTGTATGTAAATGGAACTGGTGTCCAGTTTCAGCAGCAGCTGATGCCAGTTCCGACTTACATACAGATTCAACTTAAGAACAAACCTACAGTCCCTATCTTGTACGTAACCCGGGGACTGCCTGTACTTACAGAGGATTTTCAGATTACTAGGAGCATTCTCAGCAGCTTCTGCAATAGTATTAATATCCATTTAAAATATAATGTGTGACAGTGAACAATTTCAAACATTTCATTAAGGCTGTAAGTAGTCCGACTTACATACAGATTCAACTTAAGAACAAACCTACAGTCCCTATCTTGTACGTAACCCGGGGACTGCCTGTACTTACAGAGGATTTTCAGATTACTAGGAGCATTCTCAGCAGCTTCTGCAATAGTATTAATATCCATTTAAAATATAATGTGTGACAGTGAACAATTTCAAACATTTCATTAAGGCTGTAAGTAGTCAATGTGGCACAAACACTGTTAACAGCTGCTAGAATCTTGCTCATCACCAAATGTACCTTTAGATTTAGCAATACCACTGTTTTATCTAGCAAATACAACTTAATAAAACATTCAGACTGCATTTTAGAATTAATCTAGCCCTTGACAAGATTTTCCCTCTCGGGCATGTAAAATCAACACCTTTCAACAGCCCATGATGGGATCAGCTTTCCTCTGGGGTGGAGACAATGCTGATATAAAAAGTAATATTATGTTATCATTCAATCACTTGCCTGTTGGGAGAAGCCTACACTCTTCAACTGCTGTTGAGAATTACACTTACCTACTCATAAAATGCTCCCTAAACAGTGCTGATACCCACAAGTACCACCTCCATGCCACCCAAAAAATTCTCCATGGCTATTACCTATTATTTTGGGGGAATGCTACCCTAACATACAGCTCCCAAAAACAATGAGCAGTCTTGTAGCACCTAAGGAACTATTTATTTTTGTTAGTCTCTAAGGTGTCACAGGACCACTCATTGTTTTTAAAGTTACAGACTAACATGGCTACCCCTTTGAGACTACATAAAGCTCCCAGATTTTCATTGGCCAAGGTCTCCCGCTGTAGCAGCTGTTATCATCCCATTCCCACAAGAATGAATACTGTAGATTTCTTTATAAGAATGAGGGAATACTCATCCTATGAAAGAACAAGAGACATGAATGAATGAATCAAAATGGTTTGTTGCTTTGTTAGAACAAAATCTAGTGCAACATCCCCACCTTCCTTTAAAGATAGAAATGACTTGGCTCCATAATCATGCATTGGAGAAACTACCCATGCCTCTGTGTCCATGTAGGTGAAATTATTAATCAGCAGCAAACATGGTGAGGTGCCTGGGTCTGAATCCAGCAAAGAAAAGGACCACACACAGTGTGTGCTCTGAATAACTGGTATTGCAGTCATTCGTGCACAGTAAGTGTGGGTTGGAGTTGTGAATATCTCAAGTGGCCAAGCATGCAGATCCTTGGACAGTTTGGCAAACATGACAGTGTGGAAGAGAGAGTGGATAGAGTAGTTACAAAGTGTGTATTTTGTTTCAATGAGTTAACCAGCGAGGAATTCCAGAACAAAATCTGCTAGTAAAATCTATGGGTTTTAGAGGTAGCCATGTTGTCTGTATCAGCAAAAATAACAAGGAGTCCGGTGGCACCTTAAAGACTTAACAATTTTATTAAGGCATAAGCTTTCATGAGTTGCAACTCACTTCATCAGGTAAATGAGGGATACAGAGATGGGAATGTCCTCTAAAAACTTTATCCACATCCACCCTGATTGAATTAGCTCTGATATAACACTCCCATCTCTGCATTTCTACCCATCTGTTTCTCTCTCTTTCCTTTCATGCAGGTTTTTAATAAAATAAATGCATTTCATACAGGATTCTTTGCAGAAGCTAGTCTCCATCTCATTGATACAACTTTTTTGTCAAAAACAGGATTTTGTTTACACAAATGCTAAGTCAAAATAGCCCAGGAGAACTGTCAAGCAGAGGAATACAGACTTCCTATTTTACAGAGTAGTGCCCCAGCATCATATGCCAGTAACTTGTTCACTTTCAAATAAAAGAGGGTATAACTCAGATAAAACTTTTACATCACTGATTTATTTGGATTTAGAATAGCTACTGAATTAACCCAAATCCATATGGAGTATTTTAGACAGAAACCTACTGTCAAAAATATTCAAATGTGGGCAGTGTCTCTAAAAGAGGAAGTTTGAGCATTGGCAAATTTACAACTTTTCCCTTCTCTCAGACATGTGAGTAGAACCTGTTTGATATGGATTCTGGATTATTTGCCCAGATTTAATTAGAGACTCCTAAAAGTAATCTTCAAAACTTCACCAGTATATATATTTAATGTTGTCACAGCAATGCTATTTAGCACTTTCATGGTTTCCAGTATCTCACCCACACAGTGAGAGCCTCTCATAACCAAACCAGCAGCTGCTGACAAGGCAGAGTCCTAAGCTTCAAGTACACACACCAGCTATCACCATTATATCGATCATCCATGGGCTTTTTACTGGTTTGTGCCACAAAGCTAGGCCTCTATTCCAAACTCCGCCCATGTACCTCTTAGGCAATTAGCATAATTATTATTAATCAGCAGCACGAATGCTGGAGTACATAGGTCTGAATCCAACAAGGAAAAAGACAACACACAGTGGGGTGCTCTGAAAAAGGAAGTTACTCACCTTGTGCAGTAACGTCTTCTCTTCGAGGTGTATGGCCCCATGGGTACTCCATATATGGTGATGGGCATCCCTGGAGCCGCAGATCGGAGCGTTTTCTAAGCAGTTGCTAATGGGGCCGCACATGTGCAGTGGGTGTCTCATGCTGCTGGCAATTTGATAGTTGAGCACGGCCTGACCCCTCCCCTCACTTCCTCATCTATCGCAGGGCAGACGTACTCTGAGTAGCGGGGAGGAAGGGAGGGTCGTGGAGCACCCACGGGGACATAAACCTCAAAGAACAGATGTTATTGCACAAGGTGAGTAACTTCCTTTTCTTCTTTGGGTGATGTCCCTGTGGATGCTCTACGTATGGTGACTACCAAGCAGTGTCCCATGTGTACGTATGGTGACTACCAATCAGTGTCCCATGTGGTTGGTGGGACTCAAAGTTCCTGCTTAATGGCAGCGGACAGAACTGCTGTAGCCACCATTGTATCATTCGCCAACTGGGGCATTATAGCATAATGCTTAGAGAATGGGTGTTCAGAAGGCCACGTGGCTGCCCAGAAAATGTCTCGTAGGGGCACATTTTTGAAGAATGCCGTGGATGCTGCCATCGCGCAAGTAGAATGAGCTCTGGGTAAGACTGGCAAGGGTTTTCCGGAGAGCGAATGGCATTGAAGGATGCAAGTCGCTATTAATTTTGAAATTCGCTGAGCCAAGATGGGATTGCCCTTTGAAAGGCCCGTCATAGCAACAAAGAGTCATGGGGTTTTGCGAAAACTCAAGAGTTCTGTCCATGTAGTAGGCCAAAGCCCTTTATACATCCAGTGTATGAGGCATTGTCCCCCTGGAAGAAGCATGAGGTTTTGGGAAGAATGCAGGTAGAACAATGGGTTCACTGATGTGGAAAGTCATGCTAGCTTTTGGAAGGAATGCTGGACATGGCCTCAAAGTCACTTTATCCTTACTAGACACTGTATAGGGCAGGTCTTCCATAAGTGCACCTATCTCACTGACTCCTCACTGAAATTATGGCTACAAGAAGGAACTTTCATTATAAGTAAAGGCAGAGGACACAAAGCCATTGGCTTGAAAGGAGGGTTTCAGGAGAGCAGTCAATACAAGATGAAGGTCCCATGTAGGGATTGGCACCCTATGAGGTGGATAGAGATTGTACAGGCCTTTGAAGAATCTCCATGATAGTGGGTGTGCAAATATAGAAGCTCCTTCGATTCGGCCACAGAATGCCGAAATGGCAGCCAGGTGGATCTTGATCAAAGAGAGATAGCCCATGAGACTTCAGGGTGGATAAGTAGTCCAGAATGATCTGCATTGTGAAAGTTGTCCTAGCGGACTGTCTCCTGCTGTGCAGTAGAACATCTTT